GCCGGCCCAGGTTTGTGCGGTATTGCTTTTGGTGCTTTCCAAAACCAGGTTGGATGCGTTGGCCGGATCAGCGGCCACCATGGAGCTGTTGCCCCCGAAGTCGGATACGGTATAATTTACGGTTGCCGTATCGTCCCAGCTAATGGGAAGGTCAATTTGCGCCTTTTGCCCAAAAACAAAAAGGGGTAAACAAAGTGAAAGAATGAATAATTTTAACTTCATGAGTATTAAATTTTTAACAAACCTAAACCTTTTGGTGATAATTACCAATAGTAGGCGGTGAAAATTTCACGGTCCTTGCATTAGGCTTAAAAATAGGTGGTTAGCAAATCATACAGGCTTTCCCTCTTTTGGTAACATGTACTATAATAAAAATTATATATTTGAACTTGATATTGAAGTGCTATGGACGACTCCCTCAAAAAACAGGCGGTAAAAAATCAGTTTGCCGTACCGTATTACGAAATACCATTTGAAAAATTCTTTCAGTTTGGGCTTTCGGTAGACTGTGTGGTTTTTGGCTACCACCAGGGCCGATTAAAGGTTTTGCTTATTCAACGCGGGGCCGAACCCTTTAAGGGAGAGTGGGCCCTGCCGGGTGATTTGGTGTATCCCAACGAAGCCATTGATGTTTCGGCCAAACGCATATTAAAAGAGCTAACGGGCATTGAAAACCTCTTTATGGAGCAAACCAAAGTGTACGGTCGGGTAGATCGTCACCCGGCCGGACGGGTTATTACCACCGGTTATTATTCGCTCATCGATATTGCCAAATATGATCCCCATGCTTCGGCCTGGGCCGATGGCGTGTATTGGGTGGACGTAGATCAGGTGCCCAACTTGGCCTTTGACCACGATGAAATTCTATGCGATGCCCTGCAAATTTTGAGAATGCGCGTGCGGCATCAACCGGTAGGGTTTGAGCTGCTGCCTCAAAAATTTGCCCTGGCCGATTTGCAGGCGCTGTACGAAGCCATTCTCAACCAACGGTTTGATAAGGCCAATTTTCGGAAGAAAATACTGAGCATGAACCTGTTAATATCCTTAAAAGAAAATCAAAAAGACGTGCCGCACCGGCCAGCCAGGCTTTACTCATTTGATAAACTCAGGTACGACCAACTAAGAGCCAAGGGCTTTTCATTTGAGCTGTAAGTAGGGATGGGAAGTAATTTAAACGCCACCGACCTCAGCATAATAATTGGGTATTTCCTTTTCATAGCCATTTTTGCCTGGTACCTCATTAGTAAATCCCGCAAGGAAAAAGGGGGCCAATCGGCCGGGTACTTTCTGGGCGGCAAAAACATTGGTTGGTTTGCGGTGGGTGCCTCCCTTTTCGCCTCAAATATTGGTTCAGAGCACTTGGTAGGTTTGGCCGGAGCGGGTGCTTCCGGAGCCTTTCCCATGGCGCAATTCGAAATTCTGGCCGCCATAATGCTTTTGGTCTTAGCCTGGGTATTTGTGCCCATTTACCTGCGCCTGGGCGTATTTACCATGCCGCAGTTTTTAGAAAGGCGCTACGGCAGTTGGTCGCGCTCATACCTCACCTGGGTTTCGCTCATCGGCTACGTGCTCACCAAAATATCACTAACCATTATTGCGGGGGGCATAATATTCGTTTCCCTACTGGGGATTGACTTCTGGCTGGGCGCAACCTTGGTGGTGGTAATCACAGGCGTTTATACCATTTTCGGTGGGCTGCGGGTGGTGGTTTACACCGATATGATTCAGATGTTTATTCTCCTGGCCGGTGCCTTGGCCATTGGTTACTTTGGCCTGCAAGAACTAGGCGGCTGGAATCAGCTACAAGCGCGCACCGATGAGGCATACACCAGCCTCTGGCGGCCCTTGAGCCATCCGGACTTCCCCTGGACCGGGATTCTCTTTGGCGCACCCATTTTAGGCATTTGGTATTGGTGCACCGACCAGTTTATCGTGCAACGCGTGCTCGCGGCCAGAAACATTGATCAGGCCCAAAGCGGTAGCATTTTTGCAGGATTTTTAAAATTGCTGCCCATTTTCCTCTTCGTAATTCCCGGAGTTATT